TTTTTTAAAATAAAAACTAAAGGGAAAAATAAAGATGAGATCACTGGTTGCCTTATAACCAGTGTTTTACTGTATTTGATTTGTTTGGCCTGTAGGTATTTTCCGTTTGGGGAGCTAAGGACCCTGGGAGCTCAGGATTTCAAGCAGTTCACAAATCTGCAAATGTTCATCCAACATGAGCTGTACTCATACAGTTTCTCTCCATGTGGGAAGTCCCTGAAAGCCCTTAAGAAGGGTTATCCTACTTGAGAAAGAAGAACTATGTTAATAAAAACAAGAATGGTTATTGGGAGATAAGGGCAGGCCAACTGCAGATGTATAAAGTTGAGACTTTTTACACTGGCTGGATTCCCAGTCTCTGCTTTGAGTCTCCTCAGGAGAACACAAATTGTTGTTGCGATGAAGAGCCTCCCAGGCACACTTCTCCAAGGAGCACATCACCGCTGGATTCAGGGCTCCCAGTTGACCTTACAAAACAAGTTTTGAGGGGTTTTATTTGTTTTATTTATTTTTTTCTTCTTAGTGAACAAATCATGGTGATGAACAATAAGCTTTGTCCTCCCCTGTTGCTCCGAGAGCTCCTTTCCCATGGCCTGCCTCGGGAGCAGTGTCTGAGCTCTTCTCTGGTTGTTCTACATGAGAGTGGCCTTGCTGAAAATGAAGGTGCTGAGTGGTTTCTCCCGTGTTTATCCACTGTCTTCAGTAATGACGGAGAACACCTCACCTAAGGCAAACTTCACACCATGTCAAAGTGTAAGGAAAAAATCTCCCTCAAGTAGACACACAGGCCACTGTCTGTCTCGTGTCTGGTTCTGATGGCTGCACAGAGCCATCGACACTGCTTAGCACATCCATGACCCCCTCTGCCTGTGGCCTGCCTTCAGCCTTCCAGGCCATCACGGAGCATCTGCGGCAGAAAGCCCTCCAATGGCCAAAGCAAGAGTTTCATGCTGGGTTCTTTGTTGTTAATCTGTTTTAAATATATTGAATCAATAGTTACTTGAGAATTACTCAAAGTTTCCAGAAGTACACAACGTGTTTTCTTCTCTTGATATTTCACATACCTCGGGTAAGCATGGCATCTAAAGCTCTGGGCATCGTGTGCTCTTCTCCTGGTGGTGTTGACCACACGGTGTTAACAGGGAATGGTTATTCTGTACGGGCATCTGAACTGAAAAGTGAGAAGAGCGAACTTTGCCTCCTCGGCCCCTTCTCTGTGCCTGTGGCTTATGCGTGTGCCCCTCTCCTCTTTGTCACTGCTTCCCTTGCCCTGGATGTGGTTGGTGCACTGGGGTCACCTTAGACCACAGGAAATGTCTGGTTAACACACGAAGAGATGGAAACGCTCGCAGCCACGCCGCAAACGGTTAGTCACGCACCACAGCCTGCACTCCCCCCGCGCATTTTCCACTAAGACCGTCTGGGTTCTTTGCCTTTTTGTTGAAACAAAAATGTTATTTTCCATTCAATTGTTCCAGATAAGTATTTCCTTTAGTTACTAGTTGAATGTGTAAGTAGAATTTGTATTTTAGAGTTTTTCCAGGAACTTAAAGTTGGTAGACTCTCTTTAGAATAGCTTTAACCTAGTTCTCTTTTTGGAGAGATCTCAGTTGAGCCTCCGTGTGTCTGTGTGGCCCTTTCTCCTTCCATGGATGTGCTTGGCATGGAGAGAGTCTGCTTCTTGCATGAGAAGTTGAAATTGTTGGTTTTGCATGAGTTTTGCATGATGCTTTGCCAGTCTGAACTTTTTCACTCAGTGAAGCTGCATCTTCCCTGCAGAGTTGCTTTGCCTGCACTACCGAGCTCACCAATACTAATAGTTATGTTCTTTTGCATTCCTAACCACGTAACCCCAGGAAGATGAGGAGGGAAGCTGGGCTCAGGTTGGAGTCTTTCTGTAATATATTCTTCACTACATGTACAGCAGCAAAAAGCAATTGGAGTATGAAAACTTGTGTAATCTACTTTTTTTGATGTTTATAGCATCTTAATTTATTCAGAGTACAGGATTGTTAATGATTTGAAAGCACTGGTCAAGCATAGGATTAAAGAGTACGTCTCATGGACAATTTTGAACATTTCTCATATGGTGCCATGGCAGTTATTTTTAATTAATATAGATTGCTTTGTTTAACATATGATCTTTTATACAAAGTCTTGTGGCTTAGGCAGCTTCTGAGATTATGTATGTAATTTCCTGGTAGGGTAACGTTAATTACAAGATATACTGATGGGGAAATTGTGTTCTAATAAATTTCCAAACATAAAAATTGGCATAGTGACTTTTCCTCTGTGTCTTTGTGTTGATTTGTTTTACTAAATACTATCCTAATACTATGTCCACTTAAAGATTTTCTTACTAATGGAATCCTAAGGAATTAAGCCTCTTCTCAAGTACTGTACATCTGAATTTTCAGCTGCTCAATTCTTTAACTCACCAAAAGCTCTATCCCAACTGTTTTGCATTCTGTACGTTCAGACAGCTTGCCGAAATGTCAGCGGTTCCTTCCGTGCGATGCCACCAGCCTTCTGTGGTCAGGGTGTGTGTCTCAGTGGCCTTCTGTGGTCGGGGTGTGTGTCTCGGTGGCCTTCTGTGGTCGGGGTGTGTGTCTCGGTGGCCTTCTGTGGTCGGGGTGTGTGTCTC